CCAGAAATATTTTTCCGGAAACTTAAAATCCCTAGAGGGACCTGCTTTGATCGGCGCCAGTGTCCGTGCCACCCTGCCGCCGCCTCGCTCACCTTGGCCGAGAAGGAGATCCACGCCCGGACGCCGGGGAACTCCTTGATGAGCTCGACGAGCACCTCGGCCTCCTTCCTGCAGGGGATGGTCTCGAGGGCCAGGAGGTCGACGCCGGCGGCCACCAGCGTCTCGACGCGGGGCCGGTGCCACAGCGCCAGGTCCTCGCGCGACACCTTGTCCGCGTACTCGCCCGTGTACTCGGAGCCGTCGTGCAGCGAGGCGCCGTACGGGCCGACCGAGCCCGCGATGAGCGGCCGAACTGGACATGCAAACGTCGCTCATGACCCACCCGAACGGGAACATAGAATGTTGCACCGACTGATACGCTCTAGCTGCGTTTGGCGCCGACCTTTGCAGGTGGGGTTCTCCTTCATGAAGGTGTCGACGGCCTCCTTGGCTGTCTCCACGGCCCGCGTCATGAGCTTGAGGCTCTCCGGCTTGGAGAGGTTGAGGTACTCCTTGAAGCCGTCGATGCTAGCCTGGTAAGTGTTGGTGATGATCACCTCGGCGCCCGCTGGGGAAAAAAAGAAATAAAAAAATAATCATCATGGTGCGTCATTTTAAATTTATGTCGCGCAATTTGACCAATCTTGTGCGGCAAATGCCACGCACTCGACATCGTGTGCCAGAAGCTAATTGAGCAGAGGGTACTGCACTGTACCCCTGTCCTGTGCCGTCCTGTATCACGCCCCGGGCCCGATAACGTGCCCTGTACTGGGCGATACGGGTGGCCGGCCGAGGCCGGACGGCACCCTCTCTCTCTCCCCTCTCGTAATTAACTCGGGCCTTATTGTTCACTTCACTCTCCGTTATCTCGCAGAGCGAATTTTGCACCCTCACGGCCTCACAAAAAATTTAATAATAATACAGTCGTTTTCTTTCTCCTCAAAAAAGCGCAACAAAACCGCGCAGGACATACAAAGAACCCAGAGGGGTACTCCACTGTCAGGTCAAGCGTATACAAATTTTTCTTGATTTTTCCGTCTCTTTTATAATTTGGAACTTGATTTTTCCTCGATTTCCCCTGATTTTTTTCTTTGATTTTTCCTGTGATTTTTGAAAGGGTGTACACTGATTTCTTTTGAAGTGAAGTACCCCTCTCGGGATGCCCCTCTCGCGGGGTACTCGACTCACCTCGCAGGAAGTCCAGGTGGGTCTGCATGACGGCGCGCGGGTGCGTGGCGAGGAAGCGCGCGCTCCACAGCGGGTGGCCGTCGACCTGCTCGCCGGCGACGTTCTTCTCCAGCTGCGTCGAGAAGCCCCCGTCCAGGAGCACCGCTTTCCGGCACGCGCACATGGCTCGGCGGCGATCTGTGTGCGAGATTCAAAGCCAATGAGTGAAGGTCACACACCACACGCACACGTGTTTGGGACGGTCCGCGACGGACCGGTGTGTGTAAGCGTCGTCGCGAACCGCGGAGCAAGGCGAGCCAGGATCAACTCAGCGGCGGGCGGCCGCGACCTCCACCCGCGACCCAGCGTCGTCGTCGTGGACCCGAGGAGGTTGCGTGTCGCGTGCGTGTCACGTGCGTGTCACGCGCGCTACGCGTGCGCGGCTGATTGGGAGGGAAGGGCGGAGGCGGCGACCAGCGCCCACGCGATTGTACTCTACCGACACTGCTATTCCTGGGGGACCCCCTCCTGCCCCCCTCCCACGCCACACGGCCGGACCGTCGAGGTCGTCGCCTGCTAGCGCAGGGTTAACGTAACGACGTTGGTGTGTTGTTGTCGTTCTGAGGCGCCTGGGAGGTGGGCAGTGCCGCCGAGCACGCCTGCGCGACAGGACTGCC